TTTTTTTTTTTTCCCTAATAAGTCCCCTCCTCTTCCTCCTAAATATTCACTGGAGCAGGAAACCAGGGATTCCCAGCTGGATGTCCCAGCTGTCAAGCTGTGGATTCTTTCATGCTATTTCTGATCCAGTGACTATTTGTGTGCACAGTGGAATTCAAGAGGAAGGTTGGAGTGTACCTGCCCTGCAGAAACCTGTAATCAGTAGAAGAAAGCTCAGGTGAGGGCTTCTTCTTCTGGGCAACACTGGGGAGAGCTTGAAGTGCTGCCCTGCTTTTTCTAAAGGGAGTGTGAGCTGTGTTGGAGTCACTGCAGCAGTCTGTTCTTAATTCTGTCTGTGCTCCAAGGCCAGTAGAGCATTTACTGAGAAGTCAGACCCTGGTGTGGAATTAGGCAAAGGAATGCTTAGCAGGTGGCAGTGACTAAAGTCCATTTTCGTTGATCTAGCAGTAGTGTCTCTGTAAGCTTAATGTGCAAATTTGATGTTGAGATGTGCAGATGGAAGATTCCAGCTTCTTAATGTGTTTGGTAAAGACCTTCTTGCTTCCTTCTTGAAGCTTCTCAGAACTCCTGAAACTTGCTTCCTCTTACTCTGAGCACATTTTTCAACAGCTCTTCTTTCTTTGCCTTTCCATCTAGCTATAAGATGGCTTGATATGTAAAGCCAAAAAGCTCATCTGCTTGCTGCAGCAAGCGGGTTGTGATGAATCCTTGTGGATCTCTTCCCCAAGTAGCATCTGATTCTTTTACATCTGGTTTGCATCTCTCTCAGGTCTTTGCTTTTATTGCAGCTCCTGGGTGAACTTTTCCTAGCCAGGACAAACTGAATAGAGTAGCACACGATGGAGCCTGGTTAGCTTCATCCTGCTGCTGTGAAAGCTCTGTGATGGATGAGCAGTATTACAGGCATGATTCCTCACTGCACAAATGGGTTCTATAGAAAGGAGAGTACTGGGCAGATGGCTGGTGCTTGCTCTGACTCCAGTGTTCTACAGTTTGTTAATTGTGTTTGTTAATGGTGCACTTCTGTCCTCTGCAGATTAGTTCCCAAAAGGTGGATGATAAATATAGATGCTTGGGTTGGAAAATGTGTTTAATCAAATGTAGTAAAGAAACTACTGAGTAGGAAGCGTGTGGTAAATGGAGCATCTGGCAAATGTGGCTCAAAGGAGTCATAGGGGGACAATCAGTCACTGCCAGCTCCAGCAGACCTAGGAGCCAAACCTTTCCCCAGTTCTTTTTAGCTGGTGTTCTCCATGCTGCAGTAATTCTTTGGTGGCCAAGAAATAGCAGTGGGGATGAAGGAGGCTCTGATCCGATTTCTTTTGTTTGTTTCAGTTTGCTGGAAGGCCAGGTGTTGGTTTCCTGCTCTGTTTCTTGATCACTGTTCTCCCTGTGGTGCTTTGGTTCTGTGCGGGGTTGGTCTTGGTCTTTGTTCTGTCTGTGACATGCTTAAGGACTCATTTGCTTCTGCTACATCTCTGCATTAGATGTGAAGCTGCAATAAATGCAGATGTACAGGTATGATTCAGAGGTTGCCCCTGCACCCTTCTGCTGAGGAGGACCTTGGCTTTAGGTTTTAGAGAAGAGTTGGAGTTTTGGAAACTAGCAGATGAAGGGAAGGGGCTCTGTTACACTGATCATGTGTACAGCATGAATCAAAGTAATTTCATCCTTGTGTACATCTGGAAATTGAGTATTTCCAAAATGTGCAACTATCTTCTCAGACAGTTCTGTAATAGGGATGTGCAGTCAGACAATGAGAGCTGTATATTTACATAGAGGGGTGGGGAGGGTTGGTCTGGGCTCTTTTGACCCCCTCCTCCTTTATTTTAGCAAATAAAACCTTTCAGGTACAAGAGTGACCTCTCTCGACCAGGGAGGTGCAGGAAACCTGAAAAAGAATGCATTTCTAAACCTGTTGTTCTTTTATGTTTATGGAAGGTGGGCTGGGTGCACTGACGGGTCCTGGCTTGGCCAGCCTACTTGGAAGCGGGGGACCCCCGACCAGCAGTTCATCATCCAGGTAAGACACCCATTTGGTCCAAGTCTGCTATATTTTTCTAGTGCGAAGTTGCCACACAGATGGGAGGAATAATGGCCTACTGTACAGAAAATTTAATGGGAATTAAGACTGCTTGGTACTTCTCTTAAGAGGAGGTTATTAGCCCTTTGTTTTGTAAGGGCTTGTAAAGAAACTTCTCAGAAAGAAGAGGCAAAGCTTTTGGTTTTGAATTAATTCCCTCAATGTCTTTCCAGCTCTCGCAGCCAGTCAGCTGCTGTGACACCATCTTCCACAACCTCTTCTACCCGTGTAACGCCTGCCCCGGCCGTTCCTGCAGCTGCATCTGTGACCAGCCCGAGCCCTGTGCCGAGTTCGGGTAATGGAACCAGCTCAGCCACGAGCCCAACCCAGCCCATCCAACTGAGTGACCTCCAGAATATTTTAGCTACTATGAACGTGCCATCTGGAGCAGGAGGACAGCAAGGTAACAGTATTCTGACCAGACAGCAGTTGGATCTAGGAGAGTCCTTTGGAGTTGTTTTACTGTCCTGTCTTGCCTTCCAATTTGAAAAGTGTCTTAAAATTTTATTTATTTCTTTATTTCCACTTAAATGCTGTTTTTCTTGGCTGCCTTGAGAATCTTACTCTTGCTGCAAAACTGAGAAGGGGAGAAAGGATTGCCAGCAGCGTGCTAAATATGATTCAGTACTCCACTGACTAGAACACTTCATTTACATGACAAAATGTGGGTTATTGTGCACAGTCTAACAGCCAACCATTTATTCATTTTCCTAGTTGACCTGGCAACTGTTCTGACTCCCGAGATAATGGCTCCCATTCTGGCCAACGCTGAAGTTCAGGAGCGGTTGATGCCTTACCTTCCCTCAGGGGAGTCTCTGCCACAAACTGCAGAAGAGATTCAGAACACCCTAACATCTCCTCAGTTCCAGCAGGTAGTTACCCACTATCATAAAGTGCTGCTCTCCTTCCCCATGTGTCATGATTCACATTGCCCCGTTTTCTCAGATTCCCACCCCTGCTCAGACTAGGAAGTTGATGCTTAGAAGTGGAAAGGAGGGACATGATTTCATGGAGCACTAGGCCTTCCTTCCTGTGGTCAGCCAAGGGCAGACCAGAAAGGTTGTTTTACTTTCGCTTTTGGATTTGGACTTTACCTTTCTCATTATTTAAAACACTTTCTGGCAATTGGCAGCAGGGTAGCAGTAAATTCATTACTGCCTGTCAAAGAATGGACTGTAAGCAGTCTCTTTAAAGTTGAGTTACTACAGTGAACACACAAAGGGAAGAGATGCTAATGTTTATAGCACTACATTCCTTTTTAATTCTATAAAACCCAGAATATAAAAATACTTAATTCCAGGCCTGTCCATTTGGACATACTTTGTCAGATTAAATCTGTTGGGCCAACTTCAACTAATACTGACTGAAATTTCCCAATATGCAAAATCCCATTGGCTAAGAAGAATGTTTTTAGTTGGCAGGATGTGACACTAGCGTTGCTTAGTCTAGCACAACTTATTGCCTCATGCTTACTGGCATGTAGCTGATTAAGAGCAAACACTTCCTCATTACAAAACACAGTGCCTGTGGTGTAGAGGCATGTCTGAGCCTGGCCAAGGTGCAGTACTATCTGTGTTCTTTAAGGGATAGAGGCCATGTGGTCGGCATGCTGTAACAGGGTGTGAAAGCATCCCCAAACTGCTGCCCTCATGTTGTTATTGCACTGTAGCCACGTGGTGCTGGAGAAACCCAATGCACAGTTTTTTTTTCTTTTTTTTGACACTCTTGACTCCAATTCACAGGCATTGAGCATGTTCAGTGCTGCCTTAGCTTCAGGACAGCTTGGCCCGCTAATGAGTCAGTTTGGCTTACCTGCAGAGGCCATAGATGCAGCAAATAAAGGAGGTATGTACCAGTGCTGTTGGGAACATGATGAACTGGTGGGATTTGCTGTTTGAGTTGTTGCTGTGGTTGTTCTTTTGGTCTTTTTGTTGGTTTGTTGGTTTGTTTTTCTTGGCACTGCACATAGCCATTGAATGTAGAAGGCAATGATTAGTTTGTGGGTACCTGCCAAAAGGTGACTCTTGTGCTGCTCTTTTTAAAATGAAAAGGCAAATGGCTCAGGAGCCACCCTGCAGACACAGTACTGGTGTCAGGATTGCATTTAGGGAATTGGAGGTTCTGCAGAGATGTGCTGAGCAGCCTTGTGGTTGATTTCTTGAAGGAGTTACAAATGATTGGAGGTGTTGGGCACCTTGTTTAGAATGCTTTTTACTGTGTTAGTCATCAGCCATTCAGCTGAAGGGAGTGCACTGCTTGGGCCTTACTTGGCAGAGGGGGAAGGTAGCAGTTATCCCTGATGGACATTTAGAATCTGTTCCATTATTAAACCAGTTAATTGTTGAAGCTATCTAGTGAATGAGCATTGAGATTTTCTTCTTTGCTAATAGGTTCTTACTGAAACAACTGTTTTCTTTCCAACTGATGACATAGCCTCATGCAGACAATGAAGTCTGTCCCAGAAATTGCAAACTTTCTATTGCAAATAACTAATTTCTTTAACTTTTAGATGTAGAAGCATTTGCCAAAGCAATGCAGAACAGTGTGAAGTCAGACCAAAAGGAAGGAGACTCTAAAGACAAGAAAGATGAAGAGGAAGATATGAGTTTAGATTAAATTATTTGCTCTTCCTTACAGATATCCTAGATACTAACTTAAGCAACTGCAGTAGGATTACTAACTTCATATTATGCTTATATAAATCTACAAATAAAGGAATTTTCTTTATCTGCCATACTGTTTTTTTCTCAGTCTATTCAACATAAACCTAAGCAGTACTTGCTCCTTATGTTCAGTGCAGTTGGGTTTTGATGCTTTTGATAGCAGGCTAACTCCATCCTTCAGTTTTCGTTGTGATAAAAGGCCAGAGGATTGAAAACTGCCTCAGATTTGCTCTTCACCCGTAAAGTGAAAGAGAATAACATAAAACTTTATTTGACTCCGAAGTATGTACCAGTGATTTACAAAGACCATCTTTAATACTACCACTTAAAAACAGGTTATAATTACATTGAAAATGGACATGTTAAAAACCCACTTTACAATATTTACCCCTCATAAAAAAACAATATATAAGTTATAAGTCCATTTCGGAAGCAAGATTTCGTCCCCACGTGGCTAGATATATATATACACACACAAATATATATATGATGTGTAAGTGCACAAGTGAACTAGGTGTTTTGGGAGCAAAATGTGTTTTTTTGTTTTTTTTTTTCAAGTGAAGACTGCACTATTAGCAGGGGTGAGCTAGGCTGGACAGAAGGCAGCTGGGGGCAGGGCAGGTGACTACAGTGACACTGCAAATCTGGACAGAGGTAACCTTTATTTCTTCCCTTTCAAGCAACAGTTTCTTGCTTCGTACAACAGGACTTCTATCAGTGTATCTATCTATGCTGAATGCAACTACAGAGTACAGAGTGGCATCCGTGATGACCACCTGCTTTCCCTCAGCAGTTCTTCCAGCATACTTTATTCCTTTTTAGAAGTCTTATAAATTAATCTGATTGGCAGATGCTAATTCTGCAAGCAGAATTTTGTCCAAGGTCCCCTTGTAGAGCTCTGTACTTGCACAGCAGTAGCAGGTGAACAGAGACTGACCTTAGGGGGGAGGGTTAAATGCATCCTTGCTTATAAAAACCCAAAAGTGATGGAATTAATCCAGTTTGTCCTAACTGCATAAAACAAACTGCCTGCCGCCTTTAGCAGAAGACAGCCTGTGACTGTCATTAATAGCCTGAAGTGTTCAGAACTAAACCTGCATTATAAGCGTGGGGTAAAGGGCACAGGATTTGGGATGTGATGCACAGCTGCTGTATGCTCCAGCCCATAACACAAGCTGTGTGCCAGCATGAGGCCTGCTGCAGATGCTTGACCACTGGGAAAGGAGGCAGACTTGTTTCCATACCCTGCTCCAACTTTTTGGTTATATTTGTGAAAAGATGTCCCCGAAGTGCTCCCTCCTCTCCACCTTCCTCCCCTGCTCTCCTTCCCCATGGATTTGTAGCCCCTCCCTGATGTTGGCCCCAGCCTTGTGCTACAGACTTGTGCTGCAGGCACTGGAGATGGACTGGCTGACCAGAGCTCACAGCTGATGGCTGGGATCCAGGGAGCAGTGCAGTTTCCCAGTGTCAGGCTGTACACCGAGGTGAACTTACAGCACAGGGCAACCCTTCAGGCCAACTGAGCCCCTGACAGTCCTTGTTTGCAGCAGGTTCACATAGCTCTGGTTAACCAGCAGATTCCTTATGCAGCCCACATAATGAGGGAGGGGAGGTAGTGCTGACACTGTACTGGCCTCGTCTGCTTCTGCAAAATAAAACCAAGCATTGGACTAAAAACAGAGTAAGGGATTAAGCACATCTTACTTGCAACAGCAATAATAGGTCTTGCTTTGGGGTGTTTTGATCTGGAGTGCATCTTTCTCAACTCACCTGGCAGCCCTCCTAGGTAGAACGTTGCCCTTGCACTGGCTGCAGGAGGCTGGCTGGGTCCCACTGCATAGTTTCTTTCTGTGTCCACTTCAACCTGGATTATGTTTTTCCTTTTGACAGCTTAGAAAGAAATCAAGAGTCAGACAGAGCTGCTTGCAGAAGTCCAGCAGCAGCACAGGGCAGCCCTAGCCTTGCTAGTGGCTCCATGACCTGGCAACCACCCCATCCATCCAGCTTGCCAGGTCTGACAGCACTAACAAGATTAGGTGAGGACTCCAATTAGTAAATGACTTAATGGCAGCTGCAATCTCCCAAATTAAATGCAAACAGGTGGGAGCTGGGGTTTAAATATCTGAGGAAGGGCACTGGACTGCCCCCAGTAAATGTGGGCTGAGCAATATACCCAGGGACAAAGTGCTGTCCCCTCACCTGTGATGGAGTGCCACTGCCCGTCACAGAGAGATGGGCACGTCACCGACGTGGAGAATTCGTCAGCCCCAGTGTTGGCTCTCATGGTGACCTAGAGACAAACCCATCAGAACTCGCTGAGCTGAACACAGTGGGCAAGAGATGGCCTCTACTGGGGCAATAGGAAAGCCATCCCTCCCACTACCTTTGTCTCCTCCATGTACAGCATGAGATGGGGGCTCCTCCTTGTCCCGATGTGGAAGATGAGCCCAGAGGCACTGTGGGGACGGACGTCCAGTGTCACCTCCAAATCCTGCTCAATTGCCAGTGCATCAGCTGGAAATGCAGTGCCACTGGTGAGAAGGGGACAAGGGACCTCCCACCAGACACATCCTTTCCAGTCCCAGGATCATGGGAACCAGCCTGGGCTGTTGTGGGGTACCTAGGGTGACGGACCCGCCGTCTGCAGCGAAGAAAATCCCATGCTCCAGAGCACCCTCATAACACGGCGTCACCCCAAAGGTGTGTGAGGGGGTACCCAGGGGCTTCCCATCCAGCTGTGGGTTCCTCAGGCAGCCGTCAAAGCTGGAAACCGATGTGCCCTGCAGAGATAGGCTCTGGGAGTGAGCATAGAGGGGCATGGGGCAGTGCTGTGGGACCAACAGCCAGTAGAGATGGGGTGATGCCAGGGGACCCCCACAAGCCCTTACCAGCATGTGAGCCTTGGCTCTTCCACCTGGGACACCCCCTATGTACAAGGGGGTCCGGGCTACAAAGAGCTTTGCGGTGGCCACTGTAGCACTCTGGGCTCGCAGCCCATCGATGACCAGCTGGACTCGGCTCTGGTCTCTGCTGAAGAAGACCTGCAAGGACCAAAGATGGATGCCAGGGCCACGGGCTTTGTGTAGTGGGAGAAGCCAGAAGGAAAAGCAAAGTGGCTCTGCGAGGCCTTGCTGAGCCCCAGTGCTCTGCTCACCGTGTGCCACCGCTGGTCATGGTACTTTTCTTTGCTGCGAATGCTCAGCCGCCGCCCACCGATGGCCACCAGGAAGACGAAGCGCCCGTTGGAGACAAGAAGAGCCATGAAGGTGCTTCGCTTGCCCGCCACGTAGAAGAGCAGCCCGTTAGAGGAGTTCAGCCTCACCTCCAGGGAGAAATGGAACCTGCGGGGACAGGGGATGACAGGAGCCCCTTGCCCCTGCTCTCCCATCACTGCAAGGGGCAAGTGATGGTTTCTGTGGCTGAGCCCACATGGCTTGGGCACAGAGTGAGCCTCACCTCTGGCTGAAGAAGGCCGGGACCTCCTCAAACTCCCAGCGGCTGCTCGGGGATCCCCCAAAGCGGAAGGTGTCCCTGGCTGTGCGGGGCTGCGGCCGGCAGAGCCCAGCCTGGTCGTGGCGGCGGTCCTTGGAGCTGGGCTTGCTGGACACCTACATGGGGTGCACAGAGGAACAGAGTGAAGGGAGGGTCCCTGACTGAGGGGCTGTGGTGGTGGCTGGAGAAGATGGGAGTTCTGTCAGCAGGGATACCTTGGGTTTCCTCCTGTCCTTCTTTAGAGCAACTCTGAGTTGCTGTGGCCGCTCGCCCCAAGGACAGCTCATGGTGACGTTGATGCTCTCCACGTTCTGCTGCAGGTCCACCACCATCTGCGGCTCTGACCTCCTACACACAGGGGGAAGAGGTTCCCATAACCAAGCCAGGCGAAAGGCAGGATGGGGCTGAGTCCTGCTCACTGGGATGCAGCACAGTGATGCTCACCGCTTGACAAAGACGTTCCCAATGCAGCCAGTGAGGTTGCTGAGGGCACCAGGCTCTGGTGAGCCTCCAAGCTGGAAGAGTGCCCGGTCATCCTGCTGCCTCCGTTGCCTCCAACTGGCCCTGGCCCCAGCTGCAGTGTCCTGCAGCTCGTCATCCACATAGAGCCGCACCCTATGGGGTAGGAGCGGTGCAGGATGAGCAGGGCCCCAGGGCTGCTGGCCCCTCAGCACCTGTGCATCACCAAGACACATACCCCTGGGCATCACTGTAGAAGGCCACGTAGTGGGTCCTGTCATCCGCATAGGTATTTTCAGTGGTGATTTTGGTTTCCAGCAGATTCAAGGCCAGCTGGCCCCTCTGGAGGGACACCTGGCACGTCCCCTCCTGCAGAAAGCATCGTGCCATTGCTGGGCAATCAAGCCCCAAGGTAGGGCCCATTTACCCACATTATCCAAATTTCACTGGATTTACCCTTTTACCCCCGCTCACATTCAACAAAATCCCTCTCTTTCCCAAGCAGGAGCCTCACTTGATTCTCCTGCACAAACTGATGGTTGTCCCACTACCGGGACAACTGGAGGGAACTGTGGGTGCCCACCTGGGTACTGTGGTAGTACAGCAGCCCCTCACGTTGGCTCGTCTGGAAGCTGAAGCCACTGTAGAAGTCACGCAGCGCAGGCACATCCTTCAGGGCCAGGGTCAGGTAACCATAGCCATGGACGCTGATGGAGCGAGCCACCTGTAAGAGGCACCATGGAAGCAAGGTGAGAGCCAGCTCCACTGTTGTAGGCATCCAGAATCTCACTTGGTCTGGCCAGTGCTATGGCCAACCATGGGGGGCACCTCATCATGGCCCCCAGCACTGAGGAACTGTGGGGTTTATATTTCTGCATGAAGAGAAGATTGTATTTGTCCTAGGGTCCCATGCTGCTTTCCCTGCTGGACCTCATCCCCAGCTGCTGAAGCACTGCACTTACCAGAAGGTCTGAGGTACATCCATAGCTCACACCAACAGTGTTCATGCGCTTCAAGTCAACGTATTTGCCGAGAGCCTTCAAGCCCTTCATGCAGCCCCTGATGGGCCCACCCGTGGGGAAGAGTGCCTTCAAGCTGCAGGAGAAACAGGCAGCGTTAA